CGAGAACTCCACCACGGGGAAAGGCGCCGGCCCCCCCCCCACCCCCCCCCCACACACACACACACAAAGCCTTATAATTTAATGTTAAGCAGGCACAGATTCCCTCTCCTGTACTTCCGCTCAGCTTGTTTTTGTCGTTGAAGTGAAGAACGCCCTGACGATGTGGAACACCTCTATCTGTGATTGTTTAATGCTGAGGGATTACCTTCCACTGTCACTGCTTTATTAAAGTACTGGTGTCCCTGAGGGACATTACAGTTTCCTATGTCCAAGCTGTGAGGAATGAAAAACCAAAGTCAAAGAAAAGCAACAAAATGTGTTACAACTTATAACTGTAGTCAGTGGAGCAGATGGAAAAGTTAGCTTGTTGTTGCACATGTTTTACTTGACTATATTTTACTGAGAACCGGTGTAAGTTACTCAGAAGCATCTGGAAAGATTTTTTTTGTCATTTAGAACTGTAAGAGGACGTTTTAATCATGCACCAATATATTTTTTATGGGATTAATCACAGTGTATCTGTGGATTTATAATGATTATTGTTCCTTAAAATTGAAGTTTCTCCCACGATGAGTGGTGAAAAGTACAACGACTAGAAATGTAACGATACACTCATGTCATGATAGGATGTCAGGATATGATTCACAACTTTTTTATCACTTTTTTTGGGAAACAAATTGAGCTCCAGACAAATTGTAACCAAATACAATGATCCTGTATTAGTAAGAACTCTATGCTATATCGATGCTGCTGATTCTCATTCATGAATAATCCTGTAACCTCCGAAATATCAGTGTTGAGTGACAGCGTGTGGTCAGTACGTGGCCATTATAAAACCAAAGGTCACTTTCAGTGTCAATGGGGAGAGCTGCTGCTCCACACTGCCTTTTCATTATTTTAAAATAGCCTGCACTTGAGCCATTGTGTTATCAGTGTCTGTCTCCACTTTGTCTCCGTTCGTGTTCATCTCAGCTCGGAGCAGAGCTTTGATGTTGACCACTTCTAATCAGTGTATGTGTGTGTGTGGTGGTGAGTGGGGGGGCAGGGGGGGGTGATTTTTAATGAAGAACAGACTGCACTGTTTTCCTTCTATTCTTTGTCTTTGGAGTGCCACTCCAGTGTATGCTGAGTTGTTGTAATGATTTACCTCAGATATTTTACATATTACACACTGACTGGTGTAAGACATTATTCCTGCTCCATCACATTCAGTTCTTTTTACCGGTGGATAAATGTTGGGTTGACATCGCACCTCGCATTTCGGCTATCAAACAAGCAAAAGAGAATCTGCACGATCCCAAATTAGACCCAGGTCACTGTGATCTGACATTTATTATCGTTGTTCTCCTGTTATTCCAGTTATGACCTAAATCAGGGCAGCCGAAATTAAAAACTGGGACTAAGACTTGTGCCAAACCTGATATTTATTGAGATCTAATGTTGAATTTTTTCCTATAGAAACAAACTTAAGTTTTGTGTAAACATTAAATCTGGAACAACCATATCTTAATATAATAAACACAGGAGAAATTAAATTTGAAATAGAACAAACATCAGTGGTATTTCTTTCTTATTATGTCTGTTTATTTGGAGCCATTCAAATTGTTTTTGAATGTTAATCTTTTTGTGTATTTCTTTCTTATTATGTCTGTTTATCTGGAGCTATTCAAATTGTTTTTTAATGTTAATCTTTTTTTAATGTATGTGCTATAATATCATACATTGTTAATACTACAAATCCCACCAGTATATAGTGACACCAAACGTAAAATAGATGTTTTGTTGAAAACAGAGATGGCGCTGCTGTCTCTTAATGGTCCACCTGTTGATGCACAAATCATAGGTTTCCGTTCGTCTGCTGCGCTGCTACGAATATTACGCCTGTCTGAAAGTACAGCAGCGTTGGCGTGCATGCGTGATTCATTGACCGTCGCTGTCGTTGTCATTATTTACCGATGCTCGCACACGGAGTAGGGAAGGCATGAGGCTTCAATGAGTCATACTGTTCGGTTGGAGACTGAATTTCCGTCTGTCTCTCTTTCTGTCTCCATCACTCTGTCTCCCTTCACTTTTTTTCAGAACACCAACATGAAAATATAAGTGATGCGTATTCTGACAGTGTAAATGTCGCTTACATAGATTTGCACACACTTCTCAGCAGTGAGGATGGCCGTGCAGCTTGAACATGCAGCTCATTTCACAGTATGCACACATTCATATGCCAGAGCAGACAGTACTGTACGTATCATCTGAATCACCTCCTTATTATGCATTGCTTGTACACTGTAGAGACATGTCTGTTTGTTGTACACACACTGTATTTATCACTGCACTGTGTGATCACCGTGACAGATGGAGTTAATAATGTAAATTACATGTAGCACATTCTTAATTGGAAAACATCTACACACTAGCCATACGTGTACTACTTCACCAAGTTGAGATGATATTACAGTGAGCTGTGAGTAAATGAGTGTTTTATTTTATCTATCATAAATTTGAACAATATTCTTATTTTTTCATCCTCATTTGCGTTGATATATTGTCTAATGTGACAACTGTGTCAGTTAAGAGACGTTTTATTGTCTTATATAGAAATATCTGTTTCCATTAGGATTGTTACAGCCGTCTGTTGATGGGAGTAACCGCGGCCATTACAGCCGTAATGAGCCATCACTTTACATCCACTACAGCATGTTAAATCTGAAGCACAATTAACCAGTGAGACTGAGCGCTGAGATCAGGTCAACAACAGTATTACAGTATTACAGTATAGCATTTCAAAATTTGGACCAATCATTGAGGCCACAGAGAACCAGGGGTTCATTCTCAACATTAAAAGTTCCTGGTCTTTCTGGGGGCAAAATACAAATTCAAATGCTGTTTTTAGCCCTGTCCTCTGGAATTTGACAAGAAAACAAGCCCTCTGCCCTGGCCAAGCAGGTCCAGGAACCTGGCTGCCCCGGGAGCAAGGCACAGCTGTCACTGGTAGACCAGCCCTGCCTGCAGTCTGGACCTGAAATTTATATATATATATATACACAAAAACAACACTGTGCCTTTTAGCTTCTGTTTCTTTACAGTTGCTAAAATACTTAAAAAGGTGAAGATGCTTAAAAGGGTGTATTAAGAGAAAATCACATCTATATGTGAGGCATTTGTCTGGGGCCAAATGTCTGCATTTTACTCTGACAATAATTAATGGTGGGCATAAAGCAAAAAATCTCCTGATTTCTAATAACTGGTGGGTAACATGATGACATCATAGGTCTAAAGATGTCTCTGACCTTTACTTGACACCCACAGTTGGCAGAGTTTCTGTTTTTCTAACAACCAAACCTGCCTTCACGTTATTTAAGTCCATAACCATGACACGCAGGCATGTGAAGGAACACCACAGCCTCCCTGTGTCGCTAATGAGCCAATTAATCTGCTTTCTTACAATAGAAGATGTAAGGATGACATTTGGATTAATTGTCCTGAATACTGGATAATCCTAATCAGTCACTTTGTGGTTTGGTTAAACAACAGACCTGATTCACAGTCAGACAGCAGTCTGTGGCGGCCTCCCTGGAGAAAATTAGTCTGAACGTCATGAACGATGCCCTGCAACGGACTGAACTTTTCGGTCTCAGTGTTCTGCCAAAATATTCCTCAAACGTTCACGAATGAAACAGTTCCTCCTATTTTCAGTTTTGCAGCATAGAATCCGAAGACATCTTTAGATAACTTATATATATTATATATATCCATCCATCCATCCATTTTCATCCGCTTATCCGTTATCGGGTCGCGGGGGCAGCAGTCGCCACCCAAATCACATTGCACCGCACCAAACCTTTCTGCGGGTGGTGAGTCCACTGGAAGGTACCAACCGCCCTAACCGGGATTCGAACTTGCCCAGGAGGTGAACCCTGGGGTTCCACACCAATGACAGAGACATTGCCTCTGGGCCAAAGCGCCACGTATATTATATATAGTAACCATTGTATATTACTTAAATGTGTATATGTATGTATATATATATGTGTGTGTAGGTGTAATACGATTGAGTTCCTTCATGTCTTCATTGGGTTCTGTGGGAACAGCTCAACAGGATATTAATGTTATCTTTATTGTATTTGTCTCTAGGACCTGGGGATGGAGTCAACATCCCTTGATGACGTCTTGTACCGCTACGCCAGCTTCAGGAACCTGGTCGACCCCATCACACACGACCTGATTATCAGCCTGGCTCGATACATCCACTGTCCCAAGACGGTAGGACACACTCTCACTGACTAGCATTAGAAAAAAACCCCCAAAAAACCAAACGTCCAGAGCGGGAAGTAAAACATCTGACAACTCTCACTTAAAACACACATACGTTCATGAATGTGTGCACGCCACAGACTGATGGCAGCCCTGGCTCTGCTGCTAGCAGATCATCTCTTGTTTAGGTTATAAAAATTCTTCTTGTTCATTCTTGTATACTGCTATGTCACTGAGAGGCAGGATATAATAATATAATTTGACAAACAGCTTCAGTGTGGAGTGATGCAGAAGGAGATTGGAGAAATAAGGCTTGATGCACAGTTGAAACCCATTCTACACAACACTCACTGTCTCTACAGCTGCCTGGGTATTTGCTTCAGTCTAGCTTTACTGTATTTATCTCTTAGCTCATCCTCTTTGTTTTTCCATTTACTGCAGACTTAGTTGTTTCTTGCTAAGGTAGAGAGAAAGGTTAAAGTCAGGAGATAATAATCTAAATCCTTCATGCAGATATTTGACAGTCAGGCTTCAAACGGTGTAATGAGTTTTTTTTTTCCCTTGAAAAAACAGAATACACAATGCGATAAACACCATCTCCTACACCACACAGGTGTAGGTGAGGGGAAACAGTGTTGCCTAATTGAGTACAATTGATACAGAGGATTATGACTTGGGATTAAAGAGAGACCTGTTCTTGGTCCTCTGGTTGTGCGACGTCTGTTCTTTCTCAAACGATGCTTAGATTTTAATGTAATTATATAAAGGTCAGTGCTGTTCTTTTATTGTCGTCTGTCTTCATTGGGATACTCTTGATGTTCCGAATTAGACGTACAGTACTGCACATCCTTCATCGGTATATCGTTGAAATTACTATCAATTTACATTATTTCATAATAATTATAATAATATAATTTAGCAAAAAGCGTTGAAATTACTATCAATTTACATTATTCCATAATAATTATAATAATAAAAAAAAAATTTGACCACTAGGTTTTGCAAAACATTAATTCAGCTATTTATGAGAAGTCTGACAAACTAACAGGAACGTCCGTCTCATTAGTAAATAATTTCTCTCCTCTTGAATTGATTGACCATTTGAGCTCATTTTCTTTGTCAGGGCAGTTATCTCTGCCTGTGCGATGCCAAATTACAAAAACAGACCGTGACAGTGCCATCTGGCAAAACATAATGATGTTTCAAACTTGATTTGGGTTTTTATTTTAGATTTCACCATGGCAGCTGAAAATACTGACTGTCACTCAATTTGTCTTCTAACTCCTGTCACTTGTCTCAAAGCTGGCAGAAGATGCCTTTGTGTACAGTTCACATAAGTGAATAGAGAGAAGCTGAGAGGAGTTGAGAAGTAATGAAAGAAACACTGGAGGGTTGAGGGCGAGGGGGGTTGAAAAGGAAACAGCAAGAGGTGAAGAAGACAGAAGGAGACGAGTGTTATTTTTTTATGCTCAACTTCCTGCTCTATGTTTTTGGCGCCTCTCAACTCTATTGTGTTTTTCATTCTCCCAGGCTTCATTTTGATTTTTTTTTCACTAAGTCAGTCTACTCTGACTTTGACATTGTACGTGATATCTGATTGTGTATCACTTCTCTGGAAACCACTAAGTGGGCTAAAAGGAGCGGCCTGTCTAAGCAGCAGTGTGGTGTGTTGAGCTGGCACTGAAACATTGCTTCTGTGTCCAGTGTTATCACTGGAGTGTTTCATCAGTGGTACTTCTGTGCAGGGAGTAATTTTGATTAGGGGATTAATGGAGTACTGCAAAAAAAAAAAAAAAAAAAATAGAACCCATCTGTCATTTACTGCTAAATCCTAGTGAAGGTCACGGGAGAAGGTTGAACCAGTCTACGCAATATAAGAGGTGTGGCATTAACCAATGTCCAAGCTAGTAAAGTATAGTTTTCACATAAGCATGGGCATGGGCAAACTAAGGCCCGGGGGCTGGATGTGGCCCGGTTGGCTTTTTAATCAGGCCCACTAAACTTTTCCAAATTATGTTATTAATTTCTATTCTCATTATATTCCTGCCTTTTCCCTGCAATGCCCCCAGCAGCGTTAGCCTGTGCACTGACGTGTAATTAGATTACACTCAATCCAATAAATTATTCCACAGACGTCCCTGGTGCTGTTGAGGTATACAATCAATCCTTTGTCATTACTGTCCAGTTCTCAAGGATGATTTGAATATAAATAGTCGCAGGGTCAATATTGTGAGGCTGGTATATGTAAAGCACTGCCCTGTGATATTGGCCATGACCTACGAGGCCACATTATGCAAATGTATATTGACTGAAAAGCAGATGCAAAGCAAAGTGTTTTTAGTGAGGTCCAGTGTAAAGGAACCAGTATAGTGGTCAACATCAACTGGCAGCTGTACATCACGTAAACCCTTGACCAGAACAGATGATGCTGATTTCAGAAATGTACATTTCATCAAGATTCACTGAACTAGAACGAAAAGAAAGAAAACTCGTCAATACTACAAACAGCAGCACCGCAGGGAAATAATGGGAACCGCTGGTAGAGAATTGTTTTCTTCACGTCTTTGTGTCCTACTTTAAAACAAATGGCTGCATTTGTATTTCATAAATGCAAGCGGGACAGCACACGGTGAAACATGTCCTATTAGTGTCTGTCTTTTTGTCTCCTGCCAGCACCTGTTGAATCAGTCAATTTAAGGACCTGCAGTGTTTTTTTTTTGTTGTTGTTGTTGTATGAAACAGACCACAGTCACAACCACTGCCGGAAAGTTTTGTAGCTCTATTTATTGCCGTGTGATTCCAGCTAAGAAGGCCGGCTACTGTGAATCTATATTTACACCAGCTAAAGCTTCTGTGCCTTATAACTGCACCTGCTGGAATTCTTTCTGTCTCATTTACCTGCACGGGCTTTACTTTAATACCTCCTCCTGTCTCTGATGGGAAGCTCTTCTATTTTTTGCTGTTGTCTTTTTCTTTCTTTTGGTCTTAAATTTTCTAATGCACCCGTCCAGTCTCTGGCTTCATTTGCATTATTAATGATATGTATTCAGGACGATCTCTGGATCTGATACTTCACTGCTCGTCCTTTGGAGTGTGTTCTTCAGTGGTTTTGTACAGAAGTGCAGTTAGATGTCAGCATGTACTCGGGCGCAGCTTGATGGAAAATAGCTACAGAGACTCTGCAGGTGAGAGGTCAGAAATGTCATGGCCTCATGTGGTTTCTCTGGACAGTTGTCTGATCTGGTCAGACTGAGGTTCAGTTCACATCACACTGTGGGATGGAGCCTGCTGAGAAAAATACCTGTTTAATACTGACTTCATCTCATGTGAATATTGACTGTGAAAAGTTCAGCTGCTCTGGGGTATGAGGAGGGTTAACTGCTCTCATGCACTCAGGTAGAACCAAGATTATTTTACAGCCAGAGACCAATGAGGTTTATTTATATAAAATCTTTTAGTATCAAGATAAATTCTCTTGTTGTCTCATTGTCCACCAGCAGTTATTATTATGAAAAGACGAGTTTGTCATCACTCTGCCGCAGGAAGAGATCTGCTGGGACAGAGTGTCCCATTCTGTCAATGTTGCAGTTTCTCCCCCCCCCAGGCATACACATCACCGTCCCTTCACACACGTTCAGTGAGAACAGAGATGCAGCCTCTAACCACCGTCATCCACCCGTCAGGTTTCCCCTCCTCCCCTTCACCTCTTGACCGCTGCAAATGAGAGCAAAATGATTGAATTATCCAAACAATTCATCTGCAGCCAGGAGGAACAGTTCAGCTGTTATACACCAGGACATGAAGGACACGGAGTAAAAAAAAAGATTGGACTAAACCAAAGTCCAATGTTTTTGTCTTTATACAAATCTTATCAGAAAATAAGCCTGAGGGTGAGGGTCAGGGGGTTATCAGAAAATAAGCCTGAGGGTGAGGTTCAGGTAGGGAAAAAGAGAGAGAGAGACAGACAAGGACATACTGTTTTTTTCTGGGATACCAAGATTCATACAACTCCTCTGTATCAATAATGTATTAGAAGGAGGGGACGGAAAAGAACTAGAGCAACGAAGCGGGAAGCTGGGGGGGCGGGGGGGGGGACGAGTAGAAAGAGAGACAGGAATACAAGGAAGTGAAGAACAACAGAGTGACACGTAGAAAATGCCATGAAGATTTGTCAAGACTTTGGCTACGGCTGATGTTCTTTTATTTTATCACACTGTGATGAATCTCTCTCTCTCCCTCTCTCTCTTCATCTCAACACAATTTAATTAATCCAGACATATTGTTATTATAATTCCATGCTTTCTTTACATTACTGCCATGTCACTGATGAGCCAAGACAATAATGGGCAACAATGGCGAGATGTTTCAGAGAACAAAAAAAGGTCAGCGTTGATGTAACTTTAGAGAAAAGAATAGAAAATAGCTTTAGAAATAAATATCTGATCAATTAATATTCAGGAGATACATTTAAAAGCTCTATTCTTCAAAACTTGAAGAAATCCTATCAGTCATGTCAAATAATTTGTATGGAACGTAAGTATTCTCCCCTGCATTAATCACTATTCCATATCCAAGGGTCTTATTTTGTTTGCACCGTGGTTCAGAGGTGGAAGCATTGAGAGAACTGTGGTGTGAAAAGTTAATTCCATCTCGATAAATAATTTAGCTGCTGGAATAAAATATTCACTGTGTTAAATGATGTCGTGCATTCTAACAACAAGTAAACACACACACACACACACACACGGCTCTGGGCGACAGCCGTTCCTGGTCTCTGTGTGTGGAGCTGATGATGTTGTTTCAATCAGAGAAAATATTCTACTGCAGACAGTTACCTTTTAAGGCTAGGCTAATTCTCCTCTAATACCATAGCCTATAACAACGCCTTTGGCAAATGTCTAGAAGGGGCCGTCACATTTTACATTTGTTTTGACAATATTTAAAAAGTGTTGGAATTTCGGATGAAATATATTTTAAAAAGAAATTAATGAGTTTCCACATACTTCTATTCATATAGTATAATATATCCAACAGAATGTTTGGATTACTAGGTGAATAATAATAATAAAATAACAGCTGGATTACTAGGTGAATAATAATAATAATATAACAGCTATTACTATCTTCTTCTTCTTCTTATTATTAAAGTAATGTTTCCCATTGAAAGACATAGTCCCTTGGCTACACACGTTTTTGTGTGTCTTCCTGTGAATGAGGTCTGACAAAAAATAAAGGTTGCTAATGCTAATCTTGGATGGCACATAAAGATCAAAATGGAGAGTTGGTTTCCTATGATTATTTGGTTACTTTTCTTCAGCTACAGGTTCACAGGGTGCTGTAGTCAGTTTAATTATATGTGAAAATAACACTGTGTAAATGTACTATAGAGCACTGTGTAAGGAAGGGAAAACATTGAGTAATATTGACACTTTTTTTTTTGCTAATTGTGATTTTTAAAGTTATAAAAATCACAATTAACCTTTGCTTTTTTTTATTTGCCTACTTTACACTGACGCGTTGACAAAAGCGAAGCTGAAGGTCTTCGTAGTCAGACCGCCTAACAAAAAGGTACTGTACTTCTATGTCTTTGTACCTTTTATACCTTTTACTAGAAGTGAGGATTTCTGCTACAGTGTATTAGGTTTTATTTTTCAATCAGCGTTTTCATAGAATACACTTCACTCACACACACAAACACGCACACTGTTTATGTAGAAGTTGTGTTGAATCACAAAGGGTGAGTTTGCTAATGCTCCGCTCCAGTGGTTCTTGACGTGTTAGATGTTAGAACATCATCTCTGACACAAAACAACAATTCATCTCTTCCCCAGTTCTACACACGTGTGTGTGTGTGTGTTTACTGGAGAGTGTTTGATTGACATACAGTATGTTACAACCATTAATACTATATGCTGCACAGACTTCATGGTTCATTATTTGACTGATGACCCTTGTTTTTCCAGTGCATCACGGTTTGGTGTCAGTTTGGCAGTGAGATCTGTTTTCTGTCTCTTTTGTCATTTTGCGGCCGTGAAACCTACAGCTTTTGATGGAACTTAGTTAAAAAATATATATTGTTCCACTCCTTATAACTATCACTGTCAATTCTTCTTTTCTTTGGACAACTCATTTTGGCAATAGTTTGTCTAATCTAAGAGAAGGTCTAACCTAATGTATTTACAGTAAACAGGTCACCTTTGAGCAAAAATTGCAGATTACTTCCCTATGATGCAAAAAAAGAAAATTATAAAAGAATAATTTAATAACTAATATCAGCCTTTTTTCCCAAATGATTTACCTCCTGCTGTACAGTTAATAACTATAATGCAGTCACATTTCTACACTTGAATGAACATCTAATCCACCGACTCATCAACACAGGTTTAGCTCAGATGCCGGGAAAAACTCCTTTATCTGTTGTTGATGAAATTACTCGAACACAACAGAATGGAGAGGAAGGTTAGCAGCAGGAAATATTATTAAACCCCACAACAGAAATAATTGATGTTCAATTTTCCCCTGTTGACTTTTCTCATCACCTCGCAGTAATTGAAATGATTCTTCCCTGCGTTTGTCCGACAGGAGGGCGATTCTCTCGGGGCGATGGAGAAGGTTTGTCGTCAGCTGACCTACCATCTCAGTCCACACTCTCAGTGGAGGAGACAAGGCCTGCTCAAGAGGAAACCTCAAGCCTGGTGAGTGTGTGTGAGATGATGTGTGTGTTTTCATTTTCTGACCACGGTCCTAAGGGTCTCTATACCATTTACAGGGTCTGTATGGTTAGAATTAGGATTAGCAGATTTAGATGTCTTTAGTAAATTGTTTTCTTGTGTCAAACAATAGGCATTTTGCATGTGCCTAATAGAATGACAACGGGTGTTGAACGACAGAGTCAGAGATGTTTTCACCTCCTCTGAGCCGTGTGCTCCTGCTCCACAGGACTCCCGCTCTAAACCACTGCAGCTGCAGTTAACGACGTCCTGGTGGTGGCAGGTGGTATGAAGAGAGTCTGTTTCAGGATGCATTTAAAGAGAGAATTTCCTAGTGCTGTGTGACTGAAGAACGTGTTACAAACAACAGGTGTCAACCTTTCCGCACAACAGTTTACAGACAAATACACACGAGTGTCGAGAGGCAAAAATAACAATTAAGTGTCAGCCCTGAAACTGCACCCTCGCTGTGTGTGGACGTGTTTGTTTGTTGTGTGCGAGTGGTGTTTCAGATGAAAATGCTGTCAGAACAGTAGCTTGGTCCTAATGGAGAGAAAGGTAAGCAGCCATTGAAAATGAAAATGAAAATGAGTTTGTTAATTATCTAAAGTAATTCTAGACTGGTGGAAGGTATTTAATCAGTGCAGCGCTGCAGTCGGCACTTTAGGCTGCCAGCAACTCCAGTACAAATGATTAGACGGTGCAGGGACCGACCAATTTAATCTGAGTGTCAGGGCAAGAGATGAAGCTGGATCACCCCTGTGCATGGACCACCACTTTATTAACAGCCTGTGTACACAAATGTGACCACACACACACACACAAACACAAACACATGCTGTCTTCATATGAACTTCTGTCTGCAGTCACAGCGACTGAAACTAAATATAAATCCCACTTTCCTCAGATCATCTGTCTGTGGGTTTTTAGTCTAATAATTAACTTTATTTTGAACTAGTTGTTTGTTCGGATCATTAGCGTAGCCTCTGCTTGAGGGTCCGACAAGCAGACAAAAGATTAACAAGACTTAGTGAGTCCAGACCCTAAAAAATCACCATATGTTTTGAGACTTAGTTTTTATCATTCCTCGTCTTTGAGCAATGTAAGCAGAGCGACATTTATGCATTTAGCAGACGCTTTTATTCAAAGTGACTTACTTACAAGAGGAGGATTAACAATCAAGAATGTTGTTCTGCTGGGAATCGAACCTAGGACTCGCTGCTTCTGAGGCAGCCGCTGCACAGTGGAACCAGTTTAAATCAGTTCTGTCATTGACAGCTGTGTTGCTCGAGAGGTTGATTTTATTGAACAAACCAAATTACCACCTGTTCTTCGGTGGATGCAAGAGACGTGAGTCAGTGATGAGACTGGAGACCCCTGTGGCTCATGGGAATTAAATGTCGTCACTGTCTGGTGGCGGCAGCGGCGGCGGCTACAGGAAACCAGGCAAACACCTGAAAAAGTGTTCGCTGATTTACACAGACATACAGGCCCACACACACACACACACAACCACACGTACTTCAAGAACCATTACTGACAATGATTTACTACATAAACATACAACAGATAAAATACTGAAATACTGACAGGAAATGTGGGACCAGATAATGGATGTGACGCTCTGTAAAATCGTCCACTGTTCTTGTGTAAATGTTAAATCTATTTTTTACTCCACTCCTTTTTTGTATTTTGGTCTGTTGTTGTTTGGTCTGTTGTGTTCTGTCAGTGCTCTGGTCTGGTCCTCTGCCCGTGACCCGCTGGTGTCAGTTGTGTGTACTGTACGATCAGGTCTGTATTTTGGTCTGCCGTCGGTGAGCTGTGCGTCTGGCCGTATGTGATTGTGTCTGCCTCCTGCTGACCCGTCGGCTGTTGCTGCATCACAAACATGTTTACTGTCTTCCTCCCACCTGTGAGGTGTCAGCCAGCAGGGAGAGGAGATGAGCACTGACTCATAATATCTGGGCCTGTCTTTCTCCGCTCTGTCTGTGCCCCCTCCCCCCCCGCCCCCTCTCTCCAACACCCCCTTGTTCCTCATCTCACCAGCAGGCCAACGCAGCAGGGAGGATATTTGTCTCTATATACAGTAGTGTAGAAATGAAGGGGAGACATGAGGACTGGACAGAGTTGAACTTCCCCAGACTGAACTGTCAGATCAGTACTTATTATGTTGAACCTTTCCGGGTTTCAGTTTCTCTTGTGTGTGTGTTTTTTTTTTTTTTTTACATTGCTCTGACGACTTGGTTCAGTGGATAGTGCTCTTGCCCTACCACAGGAAAATCAGAGTTTGATTCCTGGTGGTAACTGATGGTCTTTCTCTGTGGACTTCTTCTCCGTTTCCTCCCTGTGTGTGGAGGACCAGGCTGATTAAACATTTTATATTCCTTATAAAAGTGACTGTGAGTGTAAATGGCCGTCTCCATATGTGGCCCTGCAGTGAAAATACAGACTGTCCAGCGTGGACTCTCCAGGATGAAGACACTTGTACCTTGTCCTCAGTAGATTTCTGCTAAGATCGGCTCTGGTGTTTTTCCTGTCATATCTAAAAGGACTTGTTTTTAGGATTATGTGGTATAAGATGAATAAATATAGTGCATTTCCTGGAATAACAAATGGCAAATGTGCGTCATCGCTGGGGTTTTGTCCTGTTTGTTATCATACATACAGTTTTTTTTTCTCTTTTTCTCTGCCAGTGTCAGCAGGGTTTAACCTCCTCTACAACCTTTAGAATAATAATGAGTGTGAGATGCTCCCGTGTTATACAGTGCGAAGGTTGAAAGTGATAGTTTTGTTTTTAGCAGTATCCAGTATTTGCTCTACTTCAACGAGCATTTTCATATTGTAGCATTAGCAGGTGTTTGGTGTTCCCTTCTGTCGGCAGGATATTGATTGGATGCAGCTCCCTGTGAGTCAGGCTGGTTTATATAATGACTGGTTCACTTTCATTAGGCAAAGTGTAAGATTCAGCACAGAGCTGTGCATTATTCAACAGGAGCAGTCATACACAACGTATGAATGTGACCAGTTTTACAGTTTTGAATGTGATACGTGGAAAGATGACGCCGATCGTATACTTGTCCAAAACCCACTTTTTATTTGATCAACGGAGCATAACCAACTGATTAAACAGTATGTTCCCAGAAACCTTAATGCACGCGAGAGATAATGATGATGAAAGCTGGTGTGAATGCTTTTAATTCTGGGAAAATTTAATGTTGGAGAACAGCTTTTTTTTTTAGCAACACACTGAGAAGCAGGGAAAAGCATTTAGTGGAAATGTTGCATCCAATTTTCCTGAAATTGATTTACAAACTGAAACCTCTCGCACTCAATTACTGCTGCTGCTGCGGCCAGTGCTGCTGCTGATAATGATGATGGTCTGAATATTGATGATTAGATATTGGACTGAGCTCTTATTAAAATACAAGTTTAAACATTTTTTTAAACCAGTTTGTGTGTTGTCGTGTGTTGTTGACAATTATACTTGCCAATCAGAGAAAAATATGTTCAACCCTACTGTTACAATGATGGAGTATTGTCTAAGAGATGGGTGAGACAGCGTGTTGTTTTTTTTCTAAATGTTTCTTTTAAATGTTGTTTTGAGGGATAAGAAAGATGCAGTTCAGACTGAGGTTTATTTTTAATGCCTGACGACGGCTCCTGTTTCTTTCTTTCTCTCTGTGTTCTTCATGAATCTGTGTTTTGGTTGATTATTTCACTTCATTTATTTATTTTATTCTGTCAGCTTGCTGCTTTAATTGGAGCAGGGCTCCAATCACAGCCAGACGTTCTCTTTATTTCAAAGATGGTTATTTTAACATTTGAAAAAAAGGAGCTGACACGACGAGCTGACATGAGTTGAAATCAGTCTGTGAATATTAATTCAAAGAGACTTTAATGCCTTTCCTTTTTCTTACGTGCTCAGGTTGTTCATATTTCTTCTAATTTTCTTGGTTTTGTCCTTGAATTATGTCAGCTGGCCACATTTTCCAGCTCTTCTTTTCTGCCTCCCATTGTGGAGCTGCATGGGGACCATCCGACTGTTGTTGTCCTTACAATAACTCTGTGTTTTTACAGCACACAGAGGGGAGAAAACAATGAGGGTCCGGCTTCAGTAAACAACAGAATTAATGACGTAAGAACACAAGGTTTATGATGCTGAAGAGAAAAGGAGTCGTGGTTCCAGTAGAAAAAACTGATGTAGAGGGAAAATCCTTGGGACAGACCTTGGTGACGGTTGTTAGCTGTGTTGCCAGGAAGTTTTTGATACTATGGATAAGCAGTAAAGAATTAAAACCATTTTAAATTAAAACCAAAACCAACAACCTAATAAATAGAAACTAATGCCACCAATCGCACAAAAGAAAAGTCATGGACTCAGATCTCTACAGATTTTTCAGGAAAGGAAAAAAAAAATGTGTTAATTCAAAATGTCATACTTTTTCAGAGTTTCTTCAGCTTGCATTGTACTTGTTATGATATTTTGAGCATGCTAAATTGTAAAAGCATTATTCAGTTAGAGATCACAATATTATAAACTGAGCTCTTGTTTTGTAGTAGAAGAAGTATATTTTCCCTTTTTCCGTATTTTAATGAAAAGAAAAAAAAAAGAACATAATCTCTATTATCTGTACATGATGTGCCGCCGACTGCCATGCGATGCCCTGTCACCGCAGCAGGCACTTTGTGAATGTACTGGCATAACTGAACAGCGGTGCATGACTGTGCTCCAATCAGATAAAATAAAACGGATGGTTTTCCATTTCCATCCTGCAGCGTGGCCTCCTCCACAGTAACAACAGCATCATGTGTTTGTGCCTCAGTGACTCATGCGTGCTCCCAGTGGACGGTTGACCTCTTGTATCTGTGTGAATAATGGCGTTACCCGCAGTGGACGGCCGCTGCCTGACACACATAAAGGCACTTTGTGCACAGCGTCTCGTGATTGTTCCCACTGTATTTTGGTGGAAGAATAAAATGAACAG